AACCCTCACATGAAGTTTGTTCCACTCCTGTGCAGTAGTTGGCGGCATGCACCTTTTCGTGTCAGCATTCTTCCGACTAGCTAATGGCAACACAAATAAGACAAACCTTTGGTAAGCATGCGTGTGTGCGGCAGTAACTGAGTGTAAGTGCAGGAATTCTCTCTCTCAGTTGAATCTCAGTGTGCGTCGTCAAGATGTAACAAATTATCTTGAGAAGAGCTGATCCAGAAGATCGCAGGCCCAGATGAGGGTCAGGGAAGAGTGGGACAGAGCATCCGTCTGCATAAACATCCAAGAGAGTTTGAGAAAGTCGTTCTTCGGAGGCCAGTCCGATTCGAAAAACAGCAACTGAGATTGAGGATACAAGCAGCTGAAATGAGCTGTCTACGCAAGGTGCATGGGCTCTCCCTTGGAGATAGGGTGAGAAGCTCGATCATCTGGGAGGGGATTGGAGTAGACCCGCTGCTCCTGCACATCGAGAGGAGGCCAGTTAACGTGGCTCAGGGATCTGCATAGTGTTGACTCCAAAAGTTAATTGGGTGTACATTCACATCCAGTAAAAGTAGAGGTATGTATTTGCAAGAATCAGTGATAGGATATAAATTACAATACAGCGGAGATGATATTTGCAATTTTTTTAAAACTGAATTTAACTGGAAAACTAAAGCCAGACACATCCGGTCTTATTGCGAGACCTCGTTATGTTTAAATAATGGCAGTAAAAACTGCTGCCACCTAGCAGTCAATTTCATTTGCACCACACAAAAGAAAACCAGTAAATGTTTCCATGTAAGTTCTTAATAAAAAAAATCTATAACACCGTTTTTAATATCAATATAGTATCATAACTTCTTCCGGGTCTTGGAGAGTACAGATGCTTTTTTCCTCCTCTCCTCCCTATCTTATCCCAAGGCTCTTAGTCTGTCTTTGGGTGTACGGTGCTTCTGCATTTTTTTCTAGAAAACTGGAAACTGGATATTATTAAAAATGGATCTGGTCAGTTGGTCTCAACGCGATTGACAAAATTTTTTCAACGATGAGAACCGGAGAGGGGGCTCCCGGGTGCCCCTCTGGGACAGATCCAGCTGGGCATATCATGGACTCCTGGAAACAGTGGAACTTGGTCTGCCTCTCTCAACTGTCTGTAGAAGATTCTGAAGACGTCTGGATTTCATGGTGTTGGTGTCAGGTTTCCTGCTCTTTGGCCTGGGCGGTTACCTGGCTTACCGGAAAATTAACGAGCTGTCGAGGAATATTTGCTCGCTCCCGGAGCTCAGAGATGGATTACAACACGATGTAAACGCACAGACTCATATAATTGTGGAGATGAGTCGTAAGCTTGGAACTTTGGCTGAGAATCAGACTCCGGCACAGAAGGTTGATGCAATCAAGGATAGAGTTGACGGGTCAGCGCGGATTGGGATAGATTAATTACGCCATTATTGGATTCAGAGGGGTTGAGGACCAACAGAACTTTAAGACAGAGAGGAAATTATCTCCGTCTTGCCCCAAAACAATTTATCTGAATCTTGGTGCCCTTGGAGCCTGTGAGGCTGAAGTGATTACCCCCCCTCAGAAGAAATGTGGAATGCTGCCGCCGCTATGGCAAGTCTGTCTCCCTATCCCAGCCTGGGTGGGACTGCAACCAGAGAAGGCCGGTGATTTGTTCCAGGTGTCACTGTGCTCTCTAAATCACTGACAAAGTGGCAGCTATAAGCAAACTGTTTACTCAACTGGCCACTCCTGAACATTCGCTACCACAAACTCCTTCTAGCCCAACCATCTCAGGCCCTACTGCTTCATTTTTCTCTTTTTCCCCTGTCACTGAGAACTGTGTGTCCAAGCTTCTCACGTGCAGCCGCCCTACTACATGCCCACTGGACCCCATTCCGACAAAGCTGCTCCAAGCTATTGCTCCTACAGTAGCTGCAGCAGTCACACATGTGACCAAAGCTTCACTGACATCCGGTACATTTCCCACCTCTCTCAAGCATGCTCAGGTTAAACCGCTGCTAAAAAAAAAAAAAAAAACATCTCTTCCTCCAAATCATGTGGAGAGCTACAGACCTATCTTTCTCCTCCCTTTTCTGTCCAAAATCATTGAAAGGGTGGCTTTCAAGCAGATCACAGAATACCTCTCACAAAACTGTCTGCTTGACCCTTACCAGTCTGGGTTCAAAAAGGGCCACTCCACTGAAACTGCTCTGTTAGCAGTGATGGGATCCTTAAAAGAAGCTAGAGCGACTGCCAAATCCTCAGTGCTTATCCTGCTCGACTTATCGGGAGCATTTGACACTGTCCACCATGGCTTCCTTTTGTCCACACTCTCTAGCATGGACATCACAGAGAAAGCACATGTCTGGTTTGAATCGTATCTCACAGGACGATCATTCAGTGTATCTTGGCTTGGACAATCCTCTATCGTGCACCATCTTGCCACAGGAGTCCCCCAGGGCTCTGTACTAGGGCCTCTTCTCTTTGCCATATACACCACCTCACTGGGTGAGATCATTCGATCACATGGCTTCTCCTACCACTGCTATGCAGACGACACCTAGCTCAATCTGTCATTTCCACCGGACGACCACACTGTCTCTCCACGAATATCAAACTGTCTCTCTGACATATCAAAATGGATAAAATCCCACCATCTCCAACTCAACCTCTCTAAAACTGATCTACTTGTCATCCCAGCAAAACCATCCATACAGCACAATATCTCAATCCAAAATGACTTCCTATCTCTGGCTCCTTCAAAGGCAGTTTGAAATCTGGATGTTGTTATTGATGAACACCTGACCTTTAAAGATCATGTTGCCTCTGTTACTTGTTCATGCTGTATAACATACGAAAAATCAGACCATACCTATTACAACATGCCACCCAGCTCCTGTTGCAATCTACTGTCATCTCCCGCTTCGATTACTGCAATGCCCTTCTAACTGGTCTTCCAGCCTGTACTGTGAGACCTCTTCAAATGGTCCAGAACGCAGCGGCGGGTCTGGTCTTCAATCAGCCAAAAAGAGCACACGTCACCCCTCTGTTCATTGAGCTCCACTGGCTACCGCTAGCAGCATGCATCAAATGCAAATTGCTAACACTAGCATGCAAAGTCAGAGATGGTACGGCTCCCATCTACCTGAATCCTCTTGCAAAGGCTTACGTCTCGGCCTGGCCACTCCGGTCATCACAGGATTGTCGGCTAGCAGTGCCTACACCACGCTCAGGACAATCCAGACTCTTCTCATGCATCGTTCCACAAATGTGGAATGACCTACCAAGCACTGCCAGAACTGCGGCTTCTTTTTCAATTTTCAAGAAACTCCTGAAGACCCTGCTCTTCAGAGAGCATCTTCTAAACTAGCCCCCTGCCTGCACCCATCCCCCCCTCCACCGGCCACTCCTTTGTTCCCTCCTCTCCATTATTGATGTCAAGTTGTTGTTATTGTTGTTGTTAGCCTCAAGGGCAACAGGTCGATTATCACTTGTAAGTCACTTTGGACTAAAGCGTCTGCTAAATACATAAACATAAACAAGTGGGTCAGGAGACCTTTAACTAAGTCTGCAGATAAACACACAGAATCATGGCTCACTCGTTCCTGGCTCTTTTTAGACATCCATCACCAGGAATTGGTACGTCACCATGCAAATAAGAGAAACACAGCCTGAAAACTGTTGTCCTGCTATTAATCTGCATGACAACCTACAAGCAGGCATTTGATTTTTTTAAGATCGGCTAATCCATTAAAACATGTATAAAAAGCTTATCCAAATGCTGTTCTAATTAACATACTCGATTTATCATCCGTATACGTTCAAAACGCTGGTATTTCTTTCACCAGGGCTATATTTCGGAGTGTGCCTATCAAGGCTAGCCGCAGCATTAAGTCAGAAGCCGAGCTGAACTCCATTCTGTTTCTGATGAGTTCATTTCACTTCACGGCTTGTGAGCCCCATAACGATGATGAAATGCTACTCACTATAAAATGCAAAAGGGGAGGTGAGATACAGGCTACAGCAGAAAGGCAAAAACTCATTCTGAGACCACTGTCACTTGGCTGCTGAACACTTGATGAAGTTCTAGACAGTTTTATGCGTTTAAACCTGCTGGAGTTTAAACTAAACATGTAAAGAATTAAGAAATTCACAAAGTTAGTTTGGAAAAGTTAAGAAAGATTGGATGGATTTAGTTTTATTCTCCATTCATGGCTGCTTGTGCCAGATTAGATCAGTAGCTATGGTACAAAGCTTTCAGTGGAGCAGAACTGTCACCAGAGAACTAACGTAAACAAACTGGAATTTGGTGTTTAAAGCACAAAATGTCTCTGATTGAAAATCAAAGCAAACCAAGAAGGCGGAATAGGAGGGCCAACAGCACAATTGGCTGCATCTTTAGCACGGAAGCACACAAAAAGCACTAAATAAACCAGTCCGGTTGTCAACCAGCAAACAAATCACACAGGAAGGAAGTGGAGAAGGTCAGTGTGAGGCGGACTAAAAACAATAAAAGGGGAAGGTCAGTCTCTGACAGTCTACTCCTTTACATCCAGTTTTTTCCATATCGAGGCAGTTACTCATTTATGTTATTTAGCGTAAACCTCCTCTCCTCTTACTCTAACCACAGCCATTCTCTTAAATCCAACTTCCTCCTTTTCTTCCTTCCACCACAGTCATTATTCCCTTTTGCCTCATTTACAATCCAATCGTTTTCATCCCCCATCTATTTGCATGAATAAAGAAATGCTTGCATCAATAAAAAAAGAGCTCCGTGAGCAGAAACAGCCTGTAAGGCAGCAGCCTATTATTTTTTATCAATAGCATCAAACAGACTCAAAGCAAAGGTTCCTTGTGTGTTGTAGCACTTCAACCTATGTGCACATAAAATCAGGGACTGCAACTGAACCTGACACATGTTCTCCTCCCCCTTCCTCATCACCATTTGTGCTCATGAGCGACAAAACAAACAAAGTGTGAAACAGTCGGGTTTAGTTTTCGCTCACCTCTCTGCACCAGCATGGTGACCTCGCTGCCTTTGGGGCATTTGCTGAGCAGATCCACCACCTGGTTGTGAGACATGCTCTGCACGTTTCTCTTGTTCACCTCCACAATGATGTCACCCTCTCTGAGGCCGCGGCACCGAGGGTAATCCACGATCTGCTTCACCCGCTGCCCTCCGCCACCGGGGCTGTCTGCGATGGTGAAGCCAAAGCCCTTGTCTCCTTTCTCCATGTGTACAGTGATGAGTTCAGGTTGTGTAGCGATGGACGAAGCCAGGGTCACTACGTCACTGGAGTAGCCGAGCTGGGAGGAGGTGTCAGAGGCTGTCTCTGCAGAGGGGCTGTGAGGTCGGGGAAGGCCATTGAGGGGTGCCCCACCATTGGTTGGGCCATTGTTGGTGCTCTGACTGCCGTGGCTGGATGGCGAGTCGTAACTGTTAGACACTTCCTGGCCATTGACGATGATGGGATCTTTGTTGTCGAGTATAGCCACCGAGGTAACCAAGCTGGTGTTTGGGTCATCGGGGTCAAAAGGCAATGGGTAGCCACGGCACAGCTCCAAGTTGACCATGGAACCAATGGGGATCGACTGAAAAATCTTTACAACTTGGGCATGTGTGTACCCCAGCACGCAGATGTCGTTAACACTCACAATCACGTCACCTTAGAGGCCAACAAATAACAAAAAAAAAAAAGAGAGAGATTTAACTTGAAAAAGCTATTATTTTACAAGCATTGCTCAGATGAACCAAGGCGACCTAATTTAGCTCCACAGACCTGTTTCCATCTTGCCATCAAGGGCCGCAGGTCCATCCAGAACCAGACTTTTGATCTGCAGGAACTCATCTGGTTCATCTCCTCCAACAACAGTGAAACCAAACCCACGGCGACTCTTCTTCAGCTTGGTATTAATGAAGGTCCCATTCAGCTCAGACCGGTTCCTAGTGAAGAAAGGCTTCCCGCCTGAACACACAAACACAAATATTCAGCTTCACTTACGTGAAGGCACAAAATCAATAAGTAGGATAGGAATCACTGAAGATCATTATGTTGCTGCCACAGCAGCTGTGAATCTTTGGGAATAATCTGCTGCTGAGTTCTGGTGAAGTGTATTTAGAAAACCTTGAAAGCAATAGAATATTGAAACATTTTTGACTAAAAAGTTACCATTAAATTAAATAAAAAGTACATCTTTCAGATATAAATCAGCACAAAAAAGCTACACTTTCTGTCATCTGGCTTAGATGCAACTTGTTAAATGGGTATTTTAAATAAATGCTTTATTTCCCATGATTATTTTTGTTCTTGCATCTGAATTATTAGGCATGCAATGAGGAAATATTTGAAATGGACACAAATATTTGTTTTATTCCCTGCTGAGAAATCAGAGAATGGAGAGAAACTAACTAAACCAGATGCATGTAATCACCTACTAGAAAGAAATGTACAAAGAAAACTCACTTTCAAAATCGTGTTGAAATAAAAGAAGGAAAAGAACAATAGCGTGTGTAGGGATCAGAGGAATGTGTGTTTGGCAATCTGCAGTACCTCCTCATGTTGGGGCAGCACCATAGCTTATGCATACAATGAAAAATGTATTACCCTTTCGAGTCAGTTCATGTCCTTGTGTTTGTGGCGTTTCGTGTTGAGAACGCGTCCGTGTGCATCGACGCTGATAGCATTTCTCAAAATCTGCGAGATGTGATTAAACCAAGAGCTGCTGCCGCCTCCACTCGCCGGACATGTAAGGAGCGGATTTCATATGATGTCTTTCTCTGTTCAAGAGGAAGGAAGGATGGACTAGACCATCAAGCGAACCAAAACAAAGACTAGAGGGAGACGGGACATAAAGCCAGGGAGAGGGTGAGCCGTGAAACAAAGACCAACAGAGGAAAAGGCGTCCGGCAGAGTGGCGAGGGAGAGCAAAAGGGAGAAGCAGAATAAAGCAGTTAAATCTCTTCCACAGCTTGGCTAATTAGACAAGCTGCTAGTGGGAGGCTGGCATGAAAGGAGCTGGCAACAAGGAGAAGGAAACCCACAGCAGCTCTAGGTGTGTTTGTGAGTTGCTAAATGAGGGGTGAAATCTGGCCATTATACGCTTTGAGAATGAGTCAAAACAAAGCTGTAATAATCAGATTCATACTTGGGATTTCATCCTAAAAAGCCTCAACATAATCTCAAATTGTCTAAAATGTGGTCGGTTGTACATGGAGGCTTTTGTGTTTATGAGGAATACATGAAATTGCTTTGTAGAGTCAATTCGTACTGGTCTTTCATCGTGAAACTAAGACATGGCCCCGGGCACGCTCACACACAAAGACTCGGAACTGATTCTGCAGCTAAGTCACTCTTGAGTAAAACAGAATGGGAGGAAAAAGTAACAAAAACACTTTTTCGCGAGGTTTCAGGATAACAGGGCTTACGTTTTTGTCCCATGGCACTGGGCACGGTGGGGCCCGTTTGGGGGTCTCTGTAGGTCTCATGGTTGGCAGCATAAGTGACCAGCGGGGCCCCTGCCAACGCCGAGTCCTCGATCCACTCTGCAAAGGCAAGAAGCACACATTCTCTAGATGGAGTCTAGACAGCAAAAGGATCCTACTAGTACAGGAAACTGTGGCTGTGGGGCTCGGAGAAAAGGATTTTTATAAAGGAGTGCGGTGATTTAATATTAGGTTAATGTCTGCAGGTAATAAAGGAGAATCTGCTGAATGAGAAGAAAGTGGAGTACAAAAGGAGAACCCTCTTGTGGTCCAGCTTGTATTTTGAAGAAGCCTGGGGTTGCCTACTGGTAGTCTTCCTACTAGGGGTGGGCGATATGGCCCAAGAATACTATCTTGATACTGTATTTTAAAGTGTTCTGTCAATAACAAGAAATCTGACGATATAACTAAGTACAAAAAAGTTTGTTGATATTCATCCATTAATCATTGTGAATCTGCATTTGGCTGGGGTAGGTCCACACCGAGCTCAACTACATCAACTCCACTAAACGAATTAGAGGGTTAGGTGAGACATTTTAAAGATTTATTTTTATTCTACCTGTCACAGAATGCATACTGACCAACCTCATTTTGGAGAAACAGACTTTAGTTCTGACTAAGGAGGTTCCGATCACATTTTTGCCCCCAATCCGAGTAAGAGTCATTTGATTTTCAGTGCCTGCTGATTGATCAATACGTTAAAATAATAGGAAAAAAGTTGTCCTTTAAGTTTATTTTTTTAATACTATTAATGTACTTCTTTCTTTCTGTGTTTTTCTGTGATTTATCTGCCAAATGTAATTTATATATAAATATGATTTATAACACAAATATATACAAAAGTAGCCTGGTTGATCATATTTTAATCATTTCCTTCCTCAATATACATCTGTACTGAGTGATGTGGATTCCTGCAACTGGGCAGGCACGTCACGGATGGCAGGCTCTTCTCGGCACAACACTTGTGACAAGTGGACAACTCATCACGCGGCTCCAGGAGACTGCTAAATCTGAGGTTTGCATCCACAAACTGTCATTCAGTGTGATAAATACTGCCCTCTCAGCTGTGCCACTTTTGCTGTCCGTAAACAATTTCTCTTTGTTTTATAATGTATGCTTCAGTGTCGGCTGACTCCGTGTTAATGTCCGAGTTGCTGCAGTGAACCGAGCGGGGTCTTTGTTTGTAAGATGGCGGACTAGGACTAAACGGTGACCCCTGAAGGGAAGAGCCAAAAGAGAAATGCGTATGTTTTTAACGCAACATATCACATTTGTAGTGTTGAATGCAGCTTTGAATAAAATACCCAGTATGCCGTCTGGTTTAAATCAAGTCTAAACTGCAGACTGTTCCTTCTCCTGGAGCGACATGTTAGTTCTTCTAGCTAACAACTACATGTTATGGTGTCTGCGTTCCCCGCCTGCCGTAAATTATGTTTTTGTTTTGTTGTCATCCCAGCAACAATGAATACTGATGTAGCAAAATTGGTTAAAATTAAAACTACGGCATTGTCATTATGTTTTCAAAATCGCAGGATGAATTAAAAAAGGCCATCTTTGTTCATTTATAAGGTTAAATCTGATCGTTTTAGTTGGAAAATCACGTGATCTGACCCCATTTTGGATCACGTGGTCAGATGACACCATCTGTTGTTCCTAACACAAGAGTATGGTTTAAGTGTCATTGTTGTCTTTAACAAATGCTAATCTTAAAAAAGTCACAGCGGTTCATGCAAATGTTGTTTTATAAACCTTAGAGGGTAGAACAAGCTGACTCATCTTCACCTTGGGAGAAAAAAATTCAGGTTATTTCCACAAACAAGAATAGAAACAGAAAAGAAAAATTATCTTAAAAAAAAGGCTGCTTTAAGCAGCCACAAATAATAGTTATGCCTTTATGGAAGGTCCATTTGCAAATCATAAGGTTGTGGCAAGCAACGCTGCATAATACAGTAGCAAAAGCTGGTACAAAGCATTCACACACAGACAAAAAAGCAAGAGTACATATGAGTAGAAAGAAAGGAAATGACGCCCTTGGTGGGGGCTTGTGAACGAACCTCGGATGTAGCGCTCACCTTCAGGTGGCTGCTGGCTTTGGGGCTGAGGCAACTGGGGCAGCTGCTGCTCCAGTTGCCTGCGCTTCTTAGCCTCCAGCACCGGGTTCTCATACTGGGTTTTCCTGTTGATATGACTACAGAGGGGAGGGGAAGGACAGGTTGCAGGAGACAAATAGGCCAGGTAAACAGAGAACGGAGTGAAGCAGCATAGGGAGGAAATACGAGGAAATAAAGAGTGACAGAGGGGAGGCAGGGGTGAGGAAAAGGCAAGATTTTATTAAAAAATCAAGCACCACCACTTTTCTGTTTTTTCCATGGTACGTTAACTCCCACAAACCAACCCAAATAAAGCTTGTGGTGATGATGGTTTAATTCACCAAACATTGTTCGAAGCTCAATGCCTAGAAGCTACGAGCCTTCTTACTACGTTTAGCTGTGGTGAAAAATGAAACCTGAAAGCTTTGAATTATGTAGCAGATTAAGGCAATTGTGAATAATGTACGTCAGGAAAATATTGCAGAAACCAATACGTGAAAATAAAAGCCTCACTGTCATGCCCACAGGTGATGCTCTGAACTACATCAAACCCCCATGGGGCATATTTGTATTAATGGTGCTGGCCGGCGGCTTCACACAGTCGTCAATACACACATGTCTGCATGCAGACACACACTCATATAAGTCCCCCAGATTGTAATGACACAAACAAAATGGCCTACATTTGACAAGGCCTTCCAAACAGCACAGGCACAGTAAGAATGTGATTGTGGGAACTAAACTGCATGCTGCGATTAATGCTGAGATGAAACCATTTTTAATGACAATTTCTTCATGTGAAACATCAAATGTACTTTTTATGCAACTTACTCAACATAGTAGACCCCGTAAACTGGATCTTCTATTTTCTCCCATCCTGGTGGAAGCTCTGTAAGACAAAGACAACAGACCATGAGACGAAGAAGATGTTGACAACAACAAACAACTGCCCATCCGTCAGTCAGTCTCTGGGACCAGAGGAACCCATCAGCTTCACAGCCTGACACCCCCCCACCCCACCCCCACCCACCTCTGTCACCTTACAGTGCTGACATTTCCACACATCAGATAAGAACATGGCCGAACCCCTTGGGCAGGGAGGAACACAGATGAAAGAAAGGAAAAAAGAAGTGAGGTCAGAAAGAGGAGAGTAGGGCAGAAAGTAGGAAGAAAGAAGAGGCAAGCCATGATGGCATAAAGGAAAGGAATAAGAGGGGAACGGGGAAAAAGGTGCGGTGGGGTAACTTGGTGCTTTGAATGATTTATTTCCCTCTTCTTCATGTGGATGACAACATTGATTTTTTTCTTAAACAGACACAAATCTCCAATTCTAAAGTCCAATTAGTGAAAAGACGTCCTTGGATTGACGCAAAGCTGCGGTGACCGAAGTGCCTTTCTGCTTTTTCATCTGCCGCTGCGTGTCAATGTGAATACACGGCAGATTCCTGATGACACCAGAGCCAGCTCCCAGCATGCTCCTCATCTACAGATGGCATTGAAACCATCTCCTCTTACAAATTCCAGTGACGTTCAACCTCGCTTGTGAATTAATATGAAAACATCCACTCTAGCACTTACAACAGCCCAGAGGTGAAACATCTGGGCTTCTACAGCTCCACTTGTTAGTGCTGCGATGAGTTTGTGTTTCATTCTGATTCTGTAGTCTGATTACAGCTGCACTGATTACTGGTTGGTGCCTGCATACTGTAGATAATGTCAGAGGCTTCCAACCGGCTACAAACACAGGCTGTCCATTAATCCCCTCTTGTGATGTATAAGTTTTACATATCATTACTCTCAGAAGATGTTTCCTGGCCTAGATGTTAATTACAATCATCCATATTGAAGTGCCTCCCTCTGCTTTTTAATAAAGAGGACCTGTGGTTGGAGTGGAGTCAACAATGGATGCAATAAAATCTCAGTGATGTTTAAATCACCTCTGCATGACGACAAGTACTAAAACACACGTCCATCTCAAGGCCACTGGGCTACATTTAGCCTTTATCATATTTTGTGTGTAATATAACCAAACTGTGAGCACACTGCACAAATTTAGCAATATTAAAGACAACTGATAGCAGATTAATCAATGCATAATTTTTACAAAAGCATCAATGAAGGACTAACAGGTTGCAGAGCAGGAGTTGCTGCAAGGGTAAAGCTGTGCTGGATGTGCTGAATTATTTTCCTCCGATGTTGTGAACTGGAACGTTAAATGGATTGCGGTCCCGCCTCACCTCACGCAAAATTCTAATCACCCACTTGATTTCACACTGAACTAGTCTCACTCCAGGAGGAGAGCACCTGTAGGTGTGTGTGTGTGTGTGTGTGTGTGTGTGTGTGTGTGTGTGTGTGTGTGTGTGTGTGTGTGTGTGTGTGTGTGTGTGTGTGTGTGTGTTTGAGGCGAAGGAACAGAGAGGACGTTCAGAGCTGCAAACGTCTGTCGGGTTTGTGTACACTACTTCTGAGCGTTCAGGAACTCAAACAAAAAAGACTGAGTGAAACGTGTCACTCTTTAGACTGTGTTTTCCTCTCACCCGACGTCTCTCTTCCCACTTCCTACGAGGGAGTCAGGCACGATGAACTGCGTCTCCAGATATTTGCATCTCATTCTCCTGATACTGATTGAGTCATCTTGACTGAGCATGTGCCTTAGAGAGACACTTTGTGACTTTGTGGGTGTATGTGAGAATTAGTCCGCATTCCAAACAAACTTTTCTCCTCATTCAATAACAGAATTCTTCCCCCGAAGGGCTCATTCAGCCTTATTATTTCCAGTAAATCTGCTGTGGTCTCTAGTATGAATGAATTCCTGTTTCAGGAAGTAGAAGAGGAGAGGGGAATGGTATAATAGTAAACCACAGGACTATGAGTCTTACTCGCTGATATTTATGGTATGCAAAAAGTATTGCCTCTGATTGGCTCAGAGCAACCAGACATGAAAAGGGTGAAAAAGGAGAGAACGGCAAATTTTGCCAAAATGTGAGGGATTTTCTTGTCTGAGCAACGTAACTCTGCATTTGTTCACTCTTCCTTCTTGGGTAAAAAAAAAATGCAACATTGAGGTTTTTTTTTATCTCCACAAATAACCTGAAGATGTTCTGCCATGTTGTGAAGTTGCTAATGCTAATGGTTAGCTACTAGCCGAGACGCGCTCTGCTCTCTTCTTCTATCAATACAGCCTTCCACGGTCGAAAGACAAGATGGGCGAGTCCATGAATGCAAACATCTCAATGTAACGTAGAAAAGTCTGGCATTTTCTGGCACATTTTTCCCATCTGTTTCCTTTCTGCAGTTAATGAAGGTGATGAATAGCCCGGAAAGCCATCCTATATTTATGAAAATTTAGTCTTGCCATGACCCCTTGGCTGATCTCAGTCCTGGGGCAGGATCTACGGCTGTCTTTCAAACTGTCTCCATGTGCTATTGGACAACATACAGTGTGACTCACTCACTCCTACAGATGTCAGTCAACAGGGCAGTTCACCATACACTGTCAAAGATGACGCATATACATATTTTTCTAAATGAAGGACTTAGGTCCCTCCATCTGCTCTTGACTCAAAGAAAAACCAAAATCTAAACTGTCTAAAGTTGATGACAAAGTTGTTTCAAACGAGCAGTCGCCATCTTTGTTGTTCCGCTGTCACATCATCTTGCCCACCAAATGGATAGAGCGGCGTGACTGGCATAGAAAAATATGGCTCAGGCCAATGGTAGACCTACTGAGGCTCTTATGGAGTGTCAAGTCCCACACTGTTTTGTGCTTCCCCACTTGAGAGGGATAAACATCCACCCAGAGTTTAGGAACTGGATTTCACTCAGAGATCGAAACAATGCTTCACTTTTTTTTCACTGCTTTTATGTTTATTTTCCGCATGTCAGGTGAAAAACCTTTAATCAAGCAGACATATAACCTTAAATTAGATTTACAGAATTTTACATAATTATTTTTAGCATTGCTTTTTAAACAGTGTTAAACATCAAATAGTTACCTTAGAAAATATAAGCTATTTATCATTATCTTTTATAATTCATCTTCCATTGAAACTAATCACAGAACCCAAAAATGAACAAACCATTTTGGGAGCAGATTTATCACCAAATGAAATATTGAGAAAACTGCAACAAACAACTTGCTAAAAACATTTTCAGATTTAAAATAAAGTAATCATCTTACTAACTGGCAAATAACCACAAACAATGTTGTGATTATACCAAACAAATCAACAGAGTCAATTGTTTGGGCCACGCCTAGGCAATCAGGTCAGGTTTCTTATTTAACCACTTAACCAGCAGCAAAGTCCATACACAACCAGCAAGTTGTTATAAATTTATCTTACCGGCTGCCTCTCTGATTTTGGTAGATGTATTTAGTTCTGAACAGACTTACTGAACGGCTGACTCAGAACACCATGCTCTCTGGTAAAATTACACCTTTATTGTCCCTGTGGAACCCCTTCTGCTGAAGATGGTTCTTAGTCTGAAAAAATCCAAGCCTGACTTGACATGGAGTGTGGCTAGTCCGACATGCAGTGCAAAATCTTTTTTTTTTCTCTCCTAATGTCCGTCCAGATTTCTAGGCTAGCCTTCTGAATTCATAAACACTGTTTGGAAGGATATTTATAAACATTGTCAGGTATTTTAATGTCACCAGTCCAGATGCTGTTTGAAAATCAAGCGCCAGATGTTGCATACCTCCCGTTTTCAGCAGTGTGTTTATAAATATCAATCAGAGATAAGTAAAATGCGTTCACAAATATCAGCTGATGTTTAAAATTATCCCACGAGATCCTTTTGAAGGAATAACAACATAAACCCTGTGATCTATGTGTCTCCTTGCATGTCGATCCCCAACTCAAATTACAGCCAAAAGAACCAGACGTTTACATTTAGTGACATAAAAACATAGCTCTGGGTTGGCTGTGGAGATTTATCACCAAATCTGATCCAGAACAGAACCTCTTTGGTGGGTAGTTTTCTAATGAACCTTGGGAACAATAAAAACAAACCAGCCTGCACATAGACACCCATTCAGAAGTCATCATGACAACTGTAGATCAGCCTCATGTGAGAGGTGACTGCCTGCTGAGATGGGAGTGTGTTCTGTTATGATGTCTCCGTCTATGTGGGTAAGCTGACAAATGTGTGAAAGGCCTCATGCAGAGTGTGTTAGCTAAATGTCAGAACCATGTCATAGAGAAGGCTGGACAAATGTCAAGCCTATGTAAATATAACGTCTCGTTTTGGATGAAGAGAGTTACGGTAAATCACTCTAAGTGAGCTCCTGGCCGTCATGCATGGTCCTGGGGATGTGCACAATTAACCTTATGGCCTCTTTCCCATTGTAAACTCTAACATTTAATAAGATATACAAAAAAACTCAAGGTTACATTTGTAAGGACAAGCAACTCTGAGATGTAGCACTGGGATTCAAACGATGAGAGAATTACCTACCTAGATCATTATCCAGCTCCTCCGTATGCACCCCTTCTACTCATTGGGGTGGAACGAAGCAACATCAGAACATCGTTGGAGGGAAAAGGATGGAGGGGAAGGAGTGGATGAAAAAAAAGCACACATCAGGGGTTAGCTGGGTGTAATAGCAACATCTGGCCACTTGGTGGCAAGAGTTAATCAGAGCCAGAACATCAGAGCATGTTTACAAAAGGCAAGTTCAGTCCAAGCATCTGGATTTCTGTGCTGTTTGACTAAATATTTTATGCACAGTAAAAGATCAAAAGCTGCACATAATAAAGTTCTAATTTTCTAACGTTTACATAGACAGGTGCATGGGTTGAAATTCTACAGCTTCTATTTTATTCCCAAAGTGAAGTCTATTATGACGTTATTGAAATCAAAAATAATCCAGCGATGTGATCAAATCTGGAGCAGAATAACATCAGAACCACCCCAACATGACTCAACATTTCTGTTACCCAACACTGACACCTAAAGGTTTCACTCCCACAAAAAAACAACAATGCGTCAATAAATGGCATAAATATACTATTACACAGGGCATTGAAGATCTTTTGCAGGCTTTAGTCGGCTTACAAAAGGCAATCATCATCTTTGTGGAGCCTAATGAAGACCTACCATCATCTTCACATTCTTCCAGGGGTTTCTGAGGTTTGTCCAGGCACCGAGGGTCTAACCAGGAGGTGGTTTTTGTGTTGTGGCTGAACAAAACAAACAAACACACGGTTATATTGACAAAAACATGTCATCAATAATCAACGGTTTTTCATTTAGCGTCTATTGAATTAGATTAAAGTTAAAGTCCCATCAGCTGTCACACACACACACACACAGGTGTGACCCATCCCCATTGGGAACGCAGAGCTGCAGACACGGTCGCGCTAGGGAAGCATTTGGTGGTTTAAGCCCCCAATTCAGCCCCTTAATGCTGTCAAGCGGGTAGGTGCCGGGTCCCATTTGTTTTTGGTGTGACCTGACCAGGATTTGAACCCTGATCTCCCAGTCCCAGGGTCGACGCTCTACCACTAGAGCTAGGCAGATGCATCAACTCATAAAATACAAAAGTCCAAATGAAATTTCATTTTGGTTCAAATAGATGAAAAATAAATAATAATAATTATTATTATTATAAAATAATATAAAATAATAATTTGTATATAGAGGCCACTAACTACGAGTTTCCTGACATTTTTTTTAATTAAATTTCCCTCAAACTTTCATACAATACTTTAAATCCAGCTTGTTGATGAGGTGAAGTGGACTAGTCTCCTTCATAGAGTGAACAAAGAACACTAAAGAACCCTTTAGGAACGTTCTTACTGTATTAAACATAAAGTGGTTCCTAGCCTTTATTTTCATACCAACACAACAGTTGTTTTAGGTCAACTACATCTCATTCATCCAGGCATTTCTACATATTAAGCAAAAAGTAACGTGGATAAATCAAGCAACACGCTGCTTTCACAATCCTCCGGAGCAACATAAAAACCCTAAATGTGAGCAGAGATGAGGCTGTAATATTGCTATTAGTTGCTGCTTACTCTATGAAGTAGACCTCTCCGTTCTCGGTGTAGGCCATCTCCCAGTTGTCAGGTAGAGGTCCCAGTGGGTCCTCCGGGGGAGGATGGCTCAGGTGAGGGTGTGTCTGCTGTGTGCTCTCCGTGGTGGCCGATGGTGAGGGGGTCGTGCCGCCGTAGGACAGGTCACTCTGGCGAAGGGCAAAGGGGCGCGCTGGCGGGTGGATGTCTTCAAATTCACTAGAGTCTCCTGGAGACATGAGAAACAGGTGTGACATTTCAGAAACACAGAGCAGAGAAGGAATGATCTCAACAATGGATCAGTCAAAAACAGCTTGATATGTTGGAGAGTTTTTATCACTTAGAAAGAATCTAATTCAAGGACTTCCAATGCGTTTTTTTAATTTTTTTTTTTATATTTGATGATGCATTTTATGATGCATTACTGACGGTATTCTCATGTATAAATGTTACCGACATGGTCTATTTTAGATTTTCTCCTAAAAGTAAATTTCAGTTCATTTCAAAAACTATATTAAACCGAAGTACTTTCAAAATGCTGAAAATACTCTAACGAACTTTTAGCTTAAGGTGGCAAAACAATACAAAACATTAAAAGAAAAAAGGTTTACACAGTATTTTGTAAAACTTAAGATTTCACACGAATATCAAACGTCTGCTCTTTAAAGGTGAACTTTACTCATACTTTTATTACATTTGCAGTGGTCTAGTACAAATGCATGCCTTGTAATGTGATCTCTGGGGAAAAACTCCTGTGCGCCTATTTGAGGACATAGATGTCACATGGAAGAGAAAGTAGCTTCAGATGACAGGATCTGGAGTCTTATTTCCTGATATTTAGACATCTTGCATCTGATTGGCTAACAGCAACACAACTCTACCACTGACTCCGTTTGCTCTGCAATGTTGATGTTTTATTTCCACAAATAACACAAGCCTGGAGGAGTTCAGCTGTGTGGTGGAGTTGCTAATGCTAACGGTTAGCTGCTACCAGCCAAGACGTTCTCGCCTCGTTCCTGGTTGCTAAACCAACACCAGACTTCCTCTTTGCCAGCCAAGATGGATGAGTCCACGAATGTTAAGTGACTGTGTGACATAGATCAGTCAGAATTTTCTAAATTGAGCATTTGTCTGTTTTCTTTCAAAAGCTAATGTGGGAAATGGGAGTAGGAGACTATTATCACTTTTAGCCTGCATGTTGGAGTGACAGATCATTTTCAACAATAAAAACTAAAAAATGATTTTTAGTGAACCTGCTCTTTAAATAAACTTGGGTAATCCCAAACAGACAAAAAATCCACAAAAAAGTTTGAAATAACTTCCAAAATGAACCAAACAGCTATTTGTCCTGACCCACGTCTTGGGACTATAAAGATGTTGACTTAAGACAGCTGTGTTTGTATGGGGGGGAGTTTACACCTACAGCAGTGGCCACTGAGTCGTTAGCACCTAGCTTCCTGTTATCCTTCTCACAAACGTTTGGTGTAAGAAACAAAAGGCAGAATCCTCCTTCTCACTACGCTCAACAACACATGGCTGACATTGTTTGAAAAGCAGCACAGATGTCAGCAGCATGTTCTACTTTTAGAAAATCTGATCATCTTTGTGCTCCATATATTCCATTGTTTCAGTCAAAGAGGCGAGTAAATCTATTGCTACTCGCAGCCAGGTGGCGCTATGCAACACCTGTGGATGCAGATGTACAGTACAGACCGATGCAGCACAAACACAAAAACTCACCACTCAAGAGCTCTAGCGTTTCCAAACTAGAGGACTGCCGCTGCTGCACTACCTCCTGCTCCTTTGTGCACTCTTCTTCATTTTCTTCTTCACAAAACCAGTCTGCTGCTTGCCTGTTCAGTCCTTTTCAGACTTGCCCTCCTTTCAAGTCACTCCCTCTTTCACTGTAATTTCCTACTGTGATCTCCTCTCTCCAATTCCCCTCCCTTCGTACCCATCAGCCCTGAAATTCCCCTCTCCTTACTCTCAGAGGCTAAGAGAAACATGACCAAAGCCCATATCTGAACTATGAATAAGGCCTTTTCAGGCTGTCGCCTTAGACCAATGTGCTGGTGATCTGTTTGGTAAAGGTGTCTGAACGCGCTACAGCAGACGCACGAGGTGAAAAAACAAAACAATCAGTTGGATGAAGGACAATCAGCCATGAAATTGGTTAACCTAATATAACTGAAGGAATACATTGCAAATGTTTGCAACGTGAAAACATGCATCAATCCCGACAGCCTTTTCAGATTTATATTCAAAGAAGTTTCAGTGTGTGGTTCCGGGGCATGACAAGCCCTCGACACACCATGCCGACAAATCAGCTAATTATTACCACAATGGTGTGTCTCATCAACGTGCCGTGCCAGCATGGCGATGCGCAAATTTTGCGGCATTCGTTCCGCCTCGCTTGGTAGTGATATTGCGCTAATTGCCTATCTTATAAACAACAATTGCACCTTGGAACAACAGAAGGGGGGGTCAGGGTCACGTGGCGTGGAGTTAATGCCGAGCTTCGGCCGTCAATTATATTGAAAATGAAGGTAAAAATGGGCCATAAGTTTCACTTAACCCACAGAATCAGCTGAGATGATAATCTGGAGTGATGTAGCGCTCCTGGAGCTTTTCTCCCTTAGAGCTGGAGGTCAGATCACCAGAGATTGCACGGGGGGTGTGGGGGACAGACTCCTTTAGGAGCGGCTTGTTTAAAGTATAGCTACAGATTTGTAATTGGGATTGGAATAAGTGTGGCTTCAATCACAATAAAGGAATAATGGAAGTCCGCGGCAGCACAGAGACCGCCCCCATACCCCCTTTATGCCGCCATCGTTTAATCTTTCATAAAATGGACCCAATTGCGCCACATTACAACCACGGTCTGACCACTTATATATAACCTGATGCCGCCATGGCGTTGCGGCAACTTGACGGCATTGTTTTGTAAAACTGGCTTAATGGACAACTTATGTTTTACAGTGCAAACCACTGCACCACTGCGCAGCCCTATGCATCACCACTTGCCACTTTATTATAATTGTTGTCAGTTTTTCCAAACTTTCATTCACCTCCAACTGTTTGATTTGAACTTGTCAGTTGCGTAAGCAAAGTTCGGCTCCAAAACGGAAAACAATGATTGCATCCCTTCTGAAAGGGGAAATAACCGACTCTGTCGAACAGGATTGATGCTACGAGGAGCTACGCTCCACACTAGAGGGAGCATCATAAGAAATAGTTTTTTTTTCACAGATCAAATTACCTAAAGCTAGTATTGCTAGTATATTGAAATATTTATCTAAAAACTAAACAAATTCATTCAAAACTGTGAATTTTCATCATTAAGTCCAATAGTTCACAATTAGTTCATTAATCAAGACGATCTGTCATTTTACCCTGCCACATCACATGATGCAGTCCTGATGAACTAGTTCATTTGCTTGCCAACAGTAGACTCCTTGGTTTCTACATTTATTCTGCCCTAACTTACAACTCAAGGTGGAGGGGTCTGCCATTGGAAAAGGGCTCTTGACACATCCCAGTCCATCACAGGGTCAACACAACTGAGCATCACACCACCATCCTGTTCCTGCTCAGCTTTAATTCCACAATAAAACTGTTGTCCAAAGGTTTCAGCTCAAAATTTGTACAAACCGACTTTCCATGTTTACTTTAAATGAAGCCCACAGCCTGGACATGTCAGATTCAGATTCAGATTTATTGGCCAAGTAAAATTACATTTACAAGGAATTTAGCTTCGGTAGAGTCTGATAATTGGACATCTTCCAGTAGACCAATTCAACTGGCCCTGTTGTCTCCACGTACCTGTAAAGCTGCTGTTCATATCAGGGAGGTCCTCGTCGTCCTCCTGTAGCTGCTCACCAATCCCTATTCCAGCATTTTGCATGTCATTGTAGGACTTGGCGCGTCGAGGAGTGGAGTGCTGTGAGCCCGGCAGGCTTCTGCTGAGCCCGTCTGGCAGTAGGGCATCACCACCACCGCTAATCACTTTCCCACCGGGGGGCTGCAGCGGTGGCTTGGGAGTCCCATAATAGTTACCTAGGAAACAAGGGGGGAGGAGACAAGATGAGAGGTGGGAGATTAAAGACAGAAAAGAAGTAGTAGGAGGAAGTGACAGGAGGGGTCAGAGGTGTGTGTGTGTGTGTGTGTGTGTGTGTGTGTGTGTGTGTGTGCGTGCGTGCGTGCGTGCGTGCGTGTGTGCGAGAGAGTGAGAGGGGTTGGCCACAGGGAGTGTCTGTGGAAATGCTGAAGATGAAGAAAATTTAAAACTGAAAGAAGCTGCTTTTCTTTAATTATTCTAAATAAATGTGTTTTTTTGTGGGAAGTTCTCAGAAACTATAATTGCATTTTTACTATTTGTTTTACATTTGAGATGAAGACTTTTTGGGAAAACTCTGCTCATTTCCACAAACAGCATTCTCTACATATTTGTGTACTAACATCTTTTTATTTTGCTGTGACACAATAGTGGTTCCTCGTGTAGAAATAACAGTATAACTACTTCAAACAACCAGAACTTCATCTTTTCATGAATATAAAAGTCAAAGTACCAGTCACTGGAAGTCTACTTGCTACTTTTTTTTCAAACAATTGAAAAAATTCACATTCATTGCTGTTCACATTAAATCTTAGTTTACCACATTCAGAGCATGAAAAAATGCCATCACTGTCTTAAAATGAACTTCTTTCCTTTGAAAATACTTATGTTCAGCAAAGGCACTTGAGCTATTGTTCCACCTTCTTCTCAAAATCCCCACTCAGCAATGGACTGTGGGTAAAACCCTTTGCCGAAGTCCGCATCGATGCAAACTTTGGGCAAGGTGCGGATGAAGGGTGCAAAAGGGACGTGGCCAAATTCTGCACTTGAGGATCGAGACACCCAACGCACTTGCACCCCTGGACTGGAACACACAATTCAACGGCGCCCGGGTGGAAGTGGGAGTGTTTAGATTGTGCCATAGGACTAGTTTTGTATCAGGGAACCTACATTTTTTTGCTTGCTTGTCTTTTAAAAGTAGTTTTCCTAACTACTACATTTTCATAATTTCTGATAGCAGCACAGCAATCTGACACTTTCTAAGGTTGCATCTTAATCTCAGACCATCAATATCCCATAAAAATCTTAGAAGTTACATTTTACAACAACTTTCTGTTTGATCTGAACATACATAGACCAGAGCTCAGATATTAAAAGCAGCTGCTCTACGTGAACTAAAACTCAAACAAGACCCGACAATAAGAGCAACAAGAACAAAATCTTATTTTTCATACATGTTATGATGCAGATGCATTGAAGGAAGTTCAATCATATCAAGTTTCTAAATATAGGAGGCAATTTGTTTCTCTTAATTTAGTTTAGTTTATCCCCACTTTACTCATTTCCAGTTGGGTAAATCTAAACGTAAACTGTAATTGTTGCAGGAATGACAGCTCTTGTTGGGACCTTAAAGAGCAAATTGCAGGTTAGAGACTCCCACGAACCGATGTTTAGAGAAACATAATAGAAACTCGTTTTAAACATTTTTTTACACAAACATAAATTATTTAGGCTTTTAGAGTCATTTTTGTGAGAAAGTTTTTTTTTTTTGGCCAAACCAAGTGACGTCATCTGAGGGAGTCCTGTTAGCTTAATCCAGTGAAAAATATAGATTATAATGCCGGCGCTGACACAGAGGAAACTTTAAATGTTTACAATTATACTCATGATGGACCAAAACCATAAAGTTATGAGTTTGCTGCTCGCCCCAGAGGGCAGAGACAAACCGGAGGGAGAAACGATCGGCCAAAGCAGAGAGATTAAGGAGGAGAAGCAGCGAGGGTCAGCAGGTGTCTGGTGAGTTAACATGTTAGCTTAAACTCGTGTGCTAACATCACAATATTGTACAGATTACCATCGTGTACCAGACAATTAAAATAGTCTCGGCCAGTTAATATAATATTAATACTAATGAGCGTCTGCCAGCGGTCTCCTACTCGCTAATATCCGTTCACGTATCGCGCTTAGTGAGAGGGAGAGAGATGCCTGTCATCTGGTTCTGGAGCTCATCCGGGCTTCTGTGAGCTGGATTTGACCCAAACACGAGCAAGACAGTCGAGCTGGTATTTTTAAAAGCTGCACACGATCCGTCTCTAGAGGTCCACGGTGGTTTTGATCTGATTCAGACCCAGAAAGCTTGCTCGGCTGGTCCACTGAGCTGAGAGAGAGATGCCTGTGATCCGGTTCTGGAGCTCATGCGAGCTTCTGTGAGCTGGATTTGACCCAAACATAAGCAAGACAGTTGAGCTGGTATTTTTAAAAGCCGTGCATCCTCTCCTGGTGGTCCAGGCGGCGGTTCTGATCCGGTTCCAACCTGGAAACCAGCTGGCCCGCTGAGCCGCGCGTGTCTTCTGGTGGTCGGTTATGACCTGGTTCTGACAGTGATCTGAGCACCAGAAATCCGCATTTGATTTTTTAAACCCCGCCACAGGTCTCTGGAGCCCAGCGCGGACCTCCCTGTCCCAATAAAGACCGATGTGGGCTACAGAAGTCCGTCTTTTCAGCTGCACAAAACGCCGTCGGGCACCGAGATAGAGGCGTTGTTTCTCTTGTCTGGAAACCCGGGGACTCGATGTCCAGACAGCCTTCACACACTATAGTTTATCAACATGAACACAACCCACCACTAGTAAACACACACACTGACTGGATAACAGGACCTCTCTAGCCTACAACTAGCCACTCTCCACACTGAGCTGAGGCAGCGTCAGAGGTTCACTTTTAGAAAAAAGCTTTGCTGAGAAAGGCCACGTTCTACTAGAAAACTCTGCTGTTATGTATTTTAAAACCAAATATCCACAATAAGCTTTTTAAATAGCATTTTTTTTGGACAGCATATGAATTAGAAAAAAAATTTAACCTGCAATTTGCTCTTTAACAACTACAATGTTCTTACTTTAGTTTAAAAAGCACCATTTTTTTTATCATCTGAGCACCACCACTTTGGTTGCTTGAAAGTAAAAGTGATTAACGAACAGTGAGGTTTGCTCACATCTCTGCAGCAAAGATGTGAAATAATTTCTTCTACTGCAGAACCACAACACTGATTATCAGTGGGATTTAAGACAAGATCCTACTGACTGTTTTTAAATCACTGACCTTAAATGCCCCATCCAACAATATTGACCTTCTCACCTTATCCTCCCTACTTGTGCTCTCTGATCTACAGACCAGCTGTTGTTCCATCTCCAGGGGACAGCTGAAAGAGCCTTGTAGCGATAGAATCATCTTCAGATGTTTAGAATGGCAACCACTTCAGATTTTGTCCATCATTCAGACACTAAAATAAACTTTTTCATGTTAATAAAAAGGTCCTATTGCCAGTTTGATGGCTGGTTCATTCGTATTGCTGCTCTTGTTAATGTTGTTTAAAAGCTTTATCAGTACTGCACTGAGCGGAGGAACTTAAGTATCTCAGGTCTTGTTCACGAGTGAGGGAAAGAAGGAACATGACATCGATAGGTGGACTGGTGCTGCGTCTGCAGTGATGCAAGTGTTGTACCGATCTGTCGTGGTGAAGAGAGAGCTGAGTCAGAAGATGAAGCTCTCGATTTACCGGTTGATCTAGGTTCCTACCCTCACCTGTGGTAAAGAGCTTTGGGTAGTGACCGAAAGAACAAAATTGCGGATACAAGCTGATAAAATGAGTTTTCTCCTCAGGGTGTCTGGTCTTTCCCTCAGAAATAGGGTGAGAAGCTCATTCATCTAGGAGGGTTTTGGAGTAGACTCGCTGCTCCTCCCCATCCAGAGGAGCCAGTTGAGGTGGCTTGGGCATTTGGTTAGGATGCCTCCTGTACGCCTCCCTGGTGAGGTTTTCCAGGCACGTCCAACAGGGAGGAGACCTGATCGAAGAACGAGGACACATTGGAGGGATTATTGGGCCATTCCCATCTGTACCGGGTCGGCCCGGTGCCGGGTAGCCCCAGTCGACCCCAGCCTGGCCCGGTTGATTCCATGCATCCTTGCCTTAAGCCCATGTGGGCTGATTCTACCCACCAATCAGATGCTTGCTCTAATGGAAGGTGTGAATTTGCTGTCAGCAGTGGGTGTGTTGGCCCTGGTCGGCCTGAAGCAGACCCCCTCAAGAAGAGGGCTGAGAATGAGCCTTGGTTGGCCCGGAAAAATACCAGGCCACCCAGATATGTAAACAACCTACGCTACCCGGCCCGGACCGACCCGGTACAGATGGGAATGGCCCATTAGTCTCATCTGGCCAGAGAACGCCTTGGGACTCCAGAGGAGGACCTGGTCCAAGTGGCTGGGTAGAGGGAAGTCTAGGCCTCTCTGCTTAGGCTGCTGCCCCCGCAACTCGATCCCAGATAAGTGGACAAAAACAGATGGAATGGATGGATAGATAGAACAAAAAATGTTCTAGATCGCTGAAGAGGTTTGGCTTCTCTTCAATAAGAAGTTTGTATTTGTAGCTTCAGATTAAGGAAAAAAGTTAGATATCCATGAATCTGTGTTCTACCACTTATCTAGTCCAATTCACAGGTCCTTCCTGACCAAACGATATATATAATCCCTCCAGTGAGTTCTAGGTCTGCCCAATAGGGACTCCTCGTAGTAGGACATGTCCAGAACAGAAAGTATCCTAAGCAGTGTCCTGAACCACCTCCACCCACTCCTTTGGATGTGGTGGTGTGGCAGTTCGACTTATTTAAGCTGCTTGAATCTAGAATCTGCTGCTTTTGGTCACAAGTCAGATCTCTAGAGCACGTAGGCTGGAACCGATTGGTAAATCATAAACTTTAACTTTTGGCTCAGGATCATTTGTCATTACCTCAGGCTGTTCATTTCTTGCTCCTCCAGCCATAATAAGACACCAAAGTAGTAAAACTCTCCTTCTACTTGAGGCAGAGAATTGAGCCCTATTTATACGGCAGAATGATTTACCTTCATATGTTCCTATTTCCAACAGGGTTCCACTTTTCTCCAACTCCAGGAATTCCTCTACAGAGAGGAATTTGTAATCCACACCGGGTACTTCTTCTTCTCGTGGGGCGCGGGTAGTACCTAAACACCCAAACAGAAATGAGTCACCTTCAAGCTGTACTTTAATCACTTCCAGTTACAAATTAGTTTTACTTTAACAAAGAGATTACAAACAAAAGTTTTGATACCACAGATGGAGAGCAGTAGCTGACACAACAGAGCCATTTGTCATGCTACTGATGACAGTCCAGTAATAGGAGAGTTTATCCATTGTTTGATGATAGTCGTTAACACTGGGGTGGCGTGTGAGGTTTTGCGCTAACACCTAGTGAGATCCTGCCATATGTTTAGGGAAAATTCAGTGTGTGTGATTTGGCATGTAGCCTGTGAGATTCCAGCAACTGCCTTAAATGGCTGCTGACAGTTGGCTAGCGTGGCTTCGATGGCAGTGTTAAAACCGAAACAATGGTGAGATCATCACAATGGAGTAAACTAATAATATTCATTTTACTTTTCTTGTATTAAATATGCATCTGCTTATAAAATCATGTAAACTATCTGAGGCTTGGAAATGATGCGGCCTGTGCCGTTTATGTCATGACGGCTGAAGAATTTCTCTTCCTCTCTTCAGTTTTCTCTTTCTTCCATCTCCTGATCTGTGATGTCTCCCAATCATTTTGTCTCCAGTGGGCTCGTAAGCTATAAGCAGGTAAAAATAGACGTGTGGCGATATTGGGACAAGCTCTCTCTGCTGCCACAATCTGTGGCACAGGTGATAAATCACGCGTGAGTGCATTCTAGCTGAAAGCAAAAAATGCGTTACAGCCCTGAAGACAAACAATAAACAAAAACGGAAATGATTGTCAAGACCGTAATTTTCTTAAGGATAATGATCCTAACTTGCATCAGGGTGATCACTCAGCTGTCACAATAAAAGTGTAAAATTATTGTATGCCATCGTCATTTTAGGGCACGGTATGATGTACACAGATTGGCAAAATGTTGATGTGCATTGCTAGAACTACCAATTTGATTGTAGATGGATATAAATTCATTTAGTTTCTATCAAATGATTGGTCTCACTTTGCCCATTTCCAGGCACCGTGTCTTACACCGAATGTCAACCTTGGAGAGAGTTCAGCAGACTGTCAGCCTATTTCCTCGTACAATAGCAGCCATTGATTGCTCTCCATTTAGACACTGCTCCAAGAAACCCAAAAGGAAGCAGAATTGTGACCAGTGTATCAAACAGGGCGGAAAGGCAGAGTATTGGTGAACAACTATGAGGAAAACATCGTTATCACTGTAGTGTAAATTAACTCAAAACGCCTGAACAAAAGCTTCATTGAGCATTTGGGGGAATGTATCGGGCTAATATTTACCATCTCTTAAAAATCAGCATCAGGTGATATCTCTTTAGTAAAGTATCACCATTGGTATCGACAACAGACAAACGAATATTAGTCAACATTTAATAGGTTGTAACTCAGGGAGAAAAGATATTGACAAATGTCACCAAGCAACCAGCATTTGTAAAATTGGAGGAATTGCCAGGGAAGCTAAATGAAATGAAACAAATAAGCATTATTTTAAAATAACAGTTTTAAAACTCACAACGTCCAAAAAAATGCAGCAAATTGTGGCCACTTCGTGGTCTTCTACAGAGCGCCATAAAAAGCTGCACTTCTCCTGGTCATGATGCATTTCTAAGTCACACAGCCCCTCTCCAGGTTCTCCGAATGGATTAAACTATGGTGTACTGTAACAAGAATACATTTTTTTTATTTAAGTCTGCGGATGTCTTTTGGCACTGATCAGGGACTTCACGCACAACCTCAATGGTCTAAATATGCTGATGACTAAGCAAATTCCCAAAAGGACCAATTTCTGTATGGAGACAATGGCCTGTATTGGTAAATGTCCTGTATTTGATATAGTGCCTTCTAGAGTCCTGGAACCCCCCAAGGTGCTTTACAACACAATCAGTCATTCACCCATTCACACACACATTCACACCCTGGTGGTGATGGGCTATGATGTAGCCACATCTGCCCTGGGGCGCATTGACAGAGGCGAGGCTGCTGAGCACTGGTGCCACCGGCCCCTCCGACCACCACCAGCAGGCAAGGTGGGTTAAGTGTCTTGCCCAAGGACACGACAGCGACAGACTGAGCGGGGCTTGAACCTGCAACCTTCAGATTACGGGGCGAGCACTTAACTCCTGGGCCACCGTCACCCACAACGGCCGAGAAGACCAAGCCATCTTATTTTCCCTGTCACCTTACTCCTCCCAGAAATTTCCAACATGCTTTAGTGTTAACACGTTTAATGATCAGCAAAAACATTGGTTTAAACAGCTGTAACAGCTGTTTTGGTGGGAGGTTTTATGATCCATCACCTTTAGAACCCACACAGAAGATCACAGTTTAATTTACTTAAACAGCTACACGTTGAGAAGAGGCTTGTTTAGTCACACCAACAGAGACCAGACTACTGCTGTGGAGAGCAACACCTCAACCCGACAGAAGAGAGGAACCGGCGAGGATGTCGACGGGATTCTATGACGAAATGTTTCAGCAACAGAAACAAGTTCATTCCTTGGATCTGGACAGGACAGCGGTGTGCACACCTCAATTTTATTTGTTAAAAGTCAACAAGTGTAGAACAGAAGATCAGAAAGGTTTAAAAAGACTATCTTCAACCAAGGGCGTAGGAACAAGTTGAATATTGGAAGGGCACAGGCCCAGAGCTGGGAGCACCTTCTGGCTCAGGTTTTTTGTCACCATGACAGACCGGTACAACACCAGCATCACTGTAGATGCAGCATCAATAGATCTTGTGCTCCATCTTTCTCCGAAACTCTTAAACTCCTCCTTTAACTGATAAAATAGAAAAATTATTAAAAATTACAAAATATAAAAATTTGTGTTTGTGTGACAATCTTCTAAAAACAAAGAGCCTAAAGATCCTATTTGAACACTGGTTCATCCTTTAAATTTGGGGCCTGTATTTGATATAGCACCTTCTAGAGTCCTGGAAGCCCCAAGGTGCTTTACAACACAATCAGTCATTCATCCATTCACACACGCATTCATACCCTGGTAGGGATGAGCTACTTTGTAGCCACAGCTGCCCTGGGGCACACTGACAGAGGCAAGTCTGCCGTACAAAGGCACCACTGGTCCTCCCGAACACCACCAGCGGGCAAGGTGGGTTAAGTGTCTTGCCCAAGGACACAGCGACAGACTAAGTGGGGCTCAAACCTGCAACCTTCTGATTACGAGAGGAGCACTTAACTCCTGGGCCACCGCCGCCCACGGTTTAAGATATCTTTCAAATGTCTCAACTGCTGCTCTTAGTTGCTTAAAAAACAGAAAATGTCGACTATGGTTGGTCTGAAGCTGAGTGAAACAGCAAGCCAAGATCTGTAACCTTTAAAAAGCTGGAAGACCAATAAAGATATAGAAAGAAAATTATCAATGTATAACAAAATAGTTCTAATAATATAAGTCTGGCTGTCGCAGAAATAAAACAGAAAGCGGAAGGATGACTGAATGTTAATCACTATTCTTCTTTCATGTGCTTTTTATGACAGCGGATTTCTGAAACTAATCTCAAGATAAGTCATTTAATTCTCAAGCAACACATAAAAACAAGACTAGGTACAGAGGATAATGTGAGAACTCGAGGCATCTGCTTCGAGTTCAACTCTTAACCTTCCATGCACCTAATTTTTGTATTTTACAAGAACAAATTTGAAGAAGAACACAGTCCACGTAGGGATGTACATAGTTAACTAGTTAATTCCTGTTAATGTTGTAACCGAGTACAATAGCTTTGCCCAATTAACTGCCAGTTCACATACTTCTGTTGTGCATGGGTGTAATATACAGTTCAATTCAATTCAATTCAATTTTATTTATATAGCGCCAAATCACAACAAGAGTCATCTCAAGGCACTTCACATAATAAACATTCCAATTCAGGTCAGTTCATTGAGCCAAACAGAAAAAATTTTTCCGATATAAGGAACCCAGCAAATTGCATCAAGTCACTGACTTTACAGCAATTCTCATACTAAGCAAGCATATAGCGACAGTGGAGAGGAAAACTCCCTTTTTAACAGGAAGAAACCTCCAGAGGATCCTGGCTCAGTATAAGCAGCCATGCTCCACGACCCACTGGGGATCGAGAAGACAGAGCAGACACACACACACACACACACACACACACACACACACACACACACACACACACACACACACACACACACACACACACACACACACACACACACACACACACAGAGTTAACTGAGTAATAACCGTTTAATGGCTTCAATAACTGGTTAAACAGATTTAGAAATACCTGCATCCCTGGTCCACAGTAATATTAGGGTTAACCGTGATGACAGAGCCATAGATGATAACATAAAAAAAAAGATCAAAATATTTTCTAAGGATGTGGAATTGGCATTCTGTTCCACCTGAGCAACTTACCATCTTCATTAAAAATAGCCACCGTTGTTCATGTTTGGGCCCATGACGATGCTAAACTTAGACATGCCCACCTGATGTAACCCAAAACCATAACATGACTCCACTGGGCTTGTATTACAAGACACATCTGCTTATTTAGATGCATTCATCAGTAATTATGGGCTCATCAGTCCACAAGCCCTTGACCATACCTCAGGGGTTCAGTCATTACGCTGCCTCACAAACTGAAGTATTTGTTTTAATTAGCATCACTGGTTATGTTAATATCTTATAAACAAAGAGTTTCTTAGTTTTAATGTCCCAATATCTTAAGTAATATTTGCTGCTGCTTTCCTAATCAAAAACACCAACATTCAAAGGACACTGATCACGGTCATCAAACTGCATCATCCTTTGTTTTTTCCAAGCAGACCTACATTTAGACCCTTTTGAAATGGAATCAAACAGGAATTTAAAAAGATCAAAAAGAAAAAAGAACTTTTAAAGTTTCTAACAAGTTGCAGCTCATTTGTCTGGGGATTTTCCTATGAGCCCAACTCAGCACGACTCAAACAGATTCTATTCTGTTGGACAACATCTTCA